TTCTCCCACGAGAAAGCGACCAACACCCTGCAGTTAATATAATTAGTCATCAATATGTGACCCCTGAAGAGAAATGGGTCATTTGTCTATTCTTAAAACTAGGTCGCACGTGCATTTCTAGGTAGTTGAAGGAGTGAGTTACTGAATTTGAACGCACGTGCATCTAACTAATATGAGTTCAAATAGTTATCATTATATTCAACTGTGTTTGTTTCTTTCAACCCGTGTCTCAAAAAGTGATAAGATTATTTCAAAATGAAGAAATTTGCCCCGAATAAAAAACCTGTGCTCTCGATTTGAGAGGTGTAGTACTGAATTTGAACGCACGTGCATTTCAATAACAGGAGTAATTTTATAATATACTCTTTATAACTCAAATAGTGCCTCTTTTTAAACTAAAAAAATAAAAGATAAAGAACCGGTTTATTAAATTGGAATGCACGTACGACCTTAATGCGCTTTGTCGGTATATATTGCGTTCAAAGTGCAATGGATTGATTTTAGACGCTGACGAGAGACAGATTGTGTATAACTATTCATACAATCTAGGTTACACGTGCATTTGAAGCTATCCCAGAGAGAAATAAAATTATTATATGATCAATTTATGAGGATTTTACTTAATGAAATGCACGTACGAAACAAAGTGATTTGTTGTAATAGGAATATTATATATATATATTGTACAATGGATTAAATATAAAAGTGAAATCGATGCTAAATAAGTGGCACCATATAGTGTTCCTCATATAAAACCTTTGATATTGGATAGCAAACTCAGGTAAGCACATTTATTTATTAATGTTATTTGCTAGCCAAGCTCAAGCTCTAGTTTGCTCAATTTCCAAGAAAACCTGATGTCATTCTTTGATTGAGCTTGTCAACTAGCACTTTTCCTTTTGATCATAATGTCTATTTTACTTTTTTGCCTCATCAAAAATGGAAATTGAGTTTACGTTATACTTTACAAATGAGCAATAGATGGACAATGCTTTGCAGATTGCATTTAACAAAATTTTTCCCAGACAATGGTATAGGCTTTCAATTTTTGGAATCCCATGTGCCCCACCTCACCCATTCAGGCTGTGGCAATCAGTACCTCAATTTATGACCCATTGCAGCACTACTGTGGAAATCCAAAGGTATGATCCAAATCTAAGCATAAATCGAAGAAATGCCAGTCACTGAGCTACTTCAGCTCCCTCCCAAGATATCCTTTTTCTCCTATTTTGCTTGGGCCATCCAACACCATCTCAACCTTAGCTAACTGAGGTTGGTGAAAATACACCTCACCTCACCAAAATAAAAAGTCAAAAACAGTTTTAGGTATTTCAATATCTTTTATTATGTCTTTCAAAATATTAACAAATTCAGTTGCAAAACTGAGCATGATTCAAAAATGAAAGTTAAAAAAATGATTATGATAATGATGAATTGTGATCAATGATGATGAATGATGATTTAGCAATGATAACAAAATATAATCATTTCTGTACATGACTAACATAACAAGGATAACAAAGTTTAAACTAAGGATAACAAGTTCAAACTAAACTTCACACAAACAAGATTTTCAAAGGAGACATTGTTATATTTTAAGCAAATGCACAGCCTAATTTCATCTTTTTGAGATGCTGGCAGGCTTTGAATCGTTACCATTTCGAAAATCGCAGAAATAGGCTTTTCAAATGCTTAAATGTGTCAGAGCACTAAGATTAACTGGATCACTAAAATTATTGTGGGGTAGGAATTTGTGATACTGGCCAACTAATTCAAAAAAAATTTCAGTCTAAACATTGGAAATTCTCCTACTAAGGAAATGTGTACATGTCCAAAGTAACTGAACTGACTGACATTTTGGAGTTCCAATCAGACATGACTGGCACATTCACCTAAATCTACAGAACTGGCTCTATGAGTATCTTTATCAACTATAAAATTGAGTCAAAAAGAATAAATGCAAATAAATGTGAATGATATCCTCAAAGCAAGGACACAAAATAAATAAAGTCAACAAAACTTAAAAAATAATTGGTTAAAATTGAAGCAATATAATTGATGTAAATACCACTCTTCAAAATAAAGGTAGATATAATATAACTCTTCAATTTATGAAGATAGATAAAGTATACTACTCTTCAAAATAAAGGCAGATAAAATATAACTCTTCAATTTAAGAAGATAGATAAAGTATACTACTCTTCAAAATAAAGGCAGATAAAATATAACTCTTCAATTTATAAAGATAGATAAAGTATACTACTCTTCAAAATAAAGGTAGATAAAATATCATTCTTCAATTTAAGAAGATAGACAAAGTATACTACTCTTCAAAATAAAGGTAGATAAAATATAACTCTTCAATTTATAAAGATAGATAAAGTATACTACTCTTCAAAATAAAGGTAGATAAAATATAACTCTTCAATTTATAAAGATAGATAAAGTATACTACTCTTCAAAATTAAGGTAGAAAGGAGAAATATGCTCTCCAAAGTAATATCAGATTATTTATCGATCTTCATAAAATAAGGTACAAATTCAGCAAAAGTAATATTACTCTCTAATATTGAAGGTAAATAAGTAGTACGTAACTCTTCAAAATAAAGAAAAAGAAAGCATGTGCACAAAATGTAGCTAATGCAGCATTTAAAAAAAAATCTTTAAATACACGTGTCCTTGAAGATGGTCTTTTGAAATTTTTGCATATTTGCTTCAAAATGTACACATCAAAATATGGGTCAAAACAAACATTGATGCCTTGAGCATGCACAAATATAAAATCGGTTTGACAAATTCACAAAATACACCCAAATAAACTGTTCACAGGCCAGAAAATTGGTCTCTGTGCATGCAAAAATATCATAAGAATAAAATTGGTAATACAAAGTCACAAAATACACTCAAATACACCATATACAGGTCAAAATGTAGGTCTACGTCATGCACATATACAAATTCGGTGTTACAAATGAACAAAATACACTCCAATATATGTATAGGTCCAAAAGTATGCAAAATGGGTAATACAAATTAACAAAATTCACCTAAATAAACCAGTATATATTATAGTCATATATAAACACAAAGTTATGTTCATTTTCAAAACAAAATATATCAAAAACAAAGATTTTACCAAATATTATTCAAAACAAAATTTTGAACAATGGAAGACATATATCAAAATTTGTTCTCTGTGCTTAAAAGCTCAAAGCAAGAACTCATTTTTTTAGCAACAAAAAAAACAACAAAATAATCAACAGAAATAAGTCAGCAGTTGAAAAGGTTTTTATAAAATTTGTCTCATTTCAGGTTAGCTTTAAGCCTGACTTACTTTTTTTTACAGAATAGATTAGCTTAAAGTATGAAGCTCTTTTTTTTGTTTTTTTCAGATTAGCTTTGAATGAATCAAGCAATTTTTTGTTTTTCGTCTAAATATTAAGTTCATTTATTGATGCTTTTCAGGTTAGCTTTAAACTTATCGAGTAATCTTTAGTTTTATTTCCAGAACAGGTTAGCTTTAAACTTATCAAGTAATCTTTAGTTTTATTTCCAGAACAGGTTAGCTTTAAACTTATCTAGTAATCTTTAGTTTTATTTCCAGAACAGGTTAGCTTTAAACTTATCAAGTAATCTTTAGTTTTATTTCCAGAACAGGTTAGCTTTAAACTTATCTAGTAATCTTTAGTTTTATTTCCAGAACAGGTTAGCTTTAACTTCGATTCTACAATTTTTTAGCGAATTAGAGCTTTGGTCTTTAACTGAAATTTTGATTGGCTAAAAGCATTTTTAATTAAACTGATATTCCGAAATTTTGCCAGAGTTGAAGCTTTGTTCCTTGTCATATTTTGAGACCAATATGTCACAATATAAATATATATCTTTATACATAAAACCATCTTGATTTAACAAAGTGTACATGAGCATGTTCAACATAGAACCCTTGATCCAGAAGGCCCATATTTTCCAATCTGTCTCCTGTATCAAGGGTTTGAGGTGAAACAAGCTCATATACCTTTGATAAATCAAAATGATATAGCACCTTATGAATTCATATTTACAGTATTGCACACAAATATATTAAAGGGATATGTACCTCTATTCATTTCATAACAAAAGATAGAACTCTTTCGAAATTTTAAGGTTTTTCTTTTAATTTCGTGTTGAGTGTTTCTGTTATTTGATTGGTCAATCACTAAATTTGATTTTGAAGTTAAATATTTTGACCAATCAGACAGGGGTAAATTTGCTCTTAAGTAATTTGTTTGCATTGACGACATCTGATACGTCAATCTTTTAAACAAATTTAAATTTCTTAACCAATCACTGGATAAGAAAGCAATATTTCATTTTTTTCAGATTTTTTTTTTAGTGAAATTATTATTCTTGCTCTTCAAAACTGAGGGATTTCTGGATAACACACTTGCGTTCCGAATTTTATTGTGAAAAACAATCTTTTTTATATGAACGCAAGGAGGGTGTTAAAGAACAACCTTAGGTAGAATTCTTTCTTTTGCATTGAAAAAATTATCGAGGTCTCATTTTCAAAATACCAAACTCTCAATAACACTTAATTTCACCATTAAGGTATACTAAAAGTTCCACTAGTACGATTTTTATCATTAAATTGTTGACGAACTATACATCAGATTTCTATTCTGAAAAGTGATACACCTAGTTAAGATCTTGCTTGATCAATTATTTAGATAGATGTATGCCTTTAGCTGAATTTCAATGGAGAGCTTGACTTTGTGAAAATGATTTTACATATTCCCTTAAATTGTTTCACGAACAAAAACGTTCATTCCGAAATTTTAAAATTATTTTGCAGCAAAATTTGAAATTGTTCTTAGAACAATGTGAAATAAAAACGAAAAAAAAAATATATCCATATGTAAAAATCCTTTTTCAGCTTATAGCAGATTTTAGCACACACTTATCAGAATATATTTATCACATAAAGAACTATGCACACACAGTTACGAAAATATTCCACATTTTTAAACATGCCACAGACGACATTCTTGATCTTTTGCTGCTTTCTTCTGCAAAATAAAAGTACGAAAATAAGCATTAAGATAACATCTTTTTCTAGCCAAAAATTGAAAATGTAAAATTCTCATTACTATCACAAAGTGCGCTTATAATTGCTTAGTCTACTGGACATGCCATCAAATGCTTAGTTTGACGTCTGACTGCAAATTGAAATGGTCTTAATTGATGCCATCAGTGTCTTGGAGAGTCCAGAGAGACAGAAATTGCTGGTGGTTTTGGAGCACGGTTAGACCTTCAAAACAATTACCTCAAGTTCTATATTATGAAGTTTCTCTCTCAGTTCATCTTCTAAAGACAATCTTCTATCAGTATCTAGAGCACTCTCACTTCCTAAAATAACAAACAAATTTATTCTTTCCTGGTCATTTCAAGAAGGTGAGAGATCAAAGAGATTTCACTAATGTGAAGCATACTTCTCCTAGGGACGGATCACACTTGATATTGTATGTTGGCTCCTCCCAAGCTCTGTGTTAATTTGTTAGAACCACTCGTATGTAATCAATATTAGCCATCTGCCTTTCCTATGATTTATATTAGCTCCTCCTACTACTTGTGTTAACCATTCCACTAATTTTTTTAAGCCACTCCCCTAACATCTAATAACCAATCAGAACTAACCTGTTTTGACATGACGGATGTAACTGCTAGAATCTGAATGACTAGCTTGGTGTGAGGTTAAGGAGGAGGGAGAGAGGATGGAAGGGCGGGGTGAGTGTAAGGGTGAACAGTAGAGCATCTGAACACTGCTACTCCGTGTTAGAGGTGAACGCTGGTATACTTTCACCATAGCTTCCTTTTCTGATAACTGAGACTGAAGAGTTCGAACACTGAAAATAAACATTAAGATTGATAAACAGCTAGTCCAATACAATGTTATCAGCCCCATGGTCACTTTTGAGGCAGGCTGTAGCACAATCGATTACAGCCACGGAATCTTAACCTGATGTCATTTGCTGGATAACGACAAGTAAATGATGGTTGTGGGCTCTAATCTTGGTTTGAGAATAAAAGTCATTATTTCTGCATGCATTTAGCAATTCACCTAATATATATTTTGTTATGTTTTATTCTCTTGCCATCACATCTGATGACGACACGTGTATATTGTGTTGAAACGTTATGTGCCCAACCTTATTAAAGAAGTGTGTTATATTCCATAATATTGTCTTGTGTTTTGTTATAAGTGCTCCTCGCTTCTATATGTCGTTCAATTCATAAAAATGTATGTTCGACCAATACTGAGCCTTTTTAAAGGTTTTTGGATAGTATCTTACCTAGCTTCAAGTTCAGCTACTCTTCTATTAGCTTGATACAGTTCCTCCATATGTCTTAACTTCTCACCCTTAGCTTCATTGATTAACCTTTCAGCTTCCACTGAGCTTTTCTCGATCGCAGCAAACCTAGAACAGAAATGCTGAAACTTAATAAGAGCCCCTGAACTTAGTAAAAAATCTCAAAAATTAAATTTGGCAGTTACACCAAAGTTTCAAAGAATTTTTATTTTTTTACAAGGATAATAACTTAGGTTCAGGAGAATCCTTTTACCAGCTGGTCCTTGTCCAAACTTCTTGGCATTGATATTTCCCAGATTATCCATACCCATTTACAGTTGATTTGATTGAACATAAGAGCATGCAGATTAAAGTTTGTTGCCATCAAAATTCTAATGTAAATTTGAGTTTGCCCAAAACGTAATGACGGAATACTTACTTTGGTCTAGAGTTATCATCTAAAGCTAATTGTCTCATTGTACTTTCTTCTAAACATTTCTGTTCCCACTGAAAATAATAAAATGACATGATTAGTTACCTCCCCTTGCTCTACTCTTCACCAAAAGTCAGAACAATGAATTTATGGTCAAATGTACCATTCTTTGATGAAACAGAGTTATATATCCAACTTTTCTATAGATTACTATGGTAATCAGAGACTGTTAAGGCTATGCAGTTTGCAATGAGGTAAATTTTGTCAATATAGTGGCATATGCCTTGTCTTCTTTCTTTTCCAATTGTTCATGGATCTTTTAATGTTTGCAATCTGTTGAATGCTGAATGACGAAAATTTCATTCAACATAGGCCTAAGTAACATTCCGATGCCACAGCCAGTGCTTGACCGATGTGAAATTGTGAAAGTTGATAGCAAAGGGGCCTTACCTTGACAAGTTCAGCTTCAAGTTGTAAAATTTTCGAATCCTTTTCATTCACCATACGTTTCAATGAAGTGATATCATTAGTTTCAGGGTTACTGTCCTGTCGTATTTTACCAGGCAAAGACTGAAAAACATAGAATTCATTTTAAAATATAGGACTTAACCATGTTAGTTTGAGTTGGTGAAGTCACCATAGCAACAAAAGTTGAAATGGTCTATCATTCCAAAAATTTGATTACAAAAATGTATCTGCTAGATCTGAATTTAAAATCTTCTTTGGCAGACGACAACATTTCAAATCAAATTCAACCTACCTTTAATTGTTTGCGTAAAGTTTCAATTTCTTTCTCTAACTTGGCCCGAAGTTGTTTTTCTTTCTGTTCTCGACGTTCTGTTACTGTCTGTAACGTTGTGAAAGCTTTCTGTAACTGATCCACCCTGTTACTATATACTTCTTTTTTACCTCCCTGTTGAAGAGTTAAAAGAAATTCATGATTTGATGAAATTTGGATTTGAAAGTCATTAAGATCTACATCTACAGTGTTACTAAATTGACAATGCCATACAATATGCAATTTGGTGATATTTGAGTTTTTTTGCGTCCCATTGGATGATTAGCAACTTGTCCATGTCAGACCCGTCTAACGTCCAAAGGTTGGAAAACAGGAATCTAACCCAGACTCTAAACTTAGTGAGTAATCCAAAAGTCTATCCCAATAAGCTACATCGGCTCCTTGGTTACCATGACTCCCATAACCTCCTCCATAATTTTGTCAACCACTAAAAATGTACCCACCTCTTCTTGGACGTTAGCCTGTACTGTAGTTAATGCGTTGTCAAGAATATCAATCTGCGCTCGTTGTTCAGTGATGGAAGATTTTAGATTCTTCACTTGTTCTTCTAGTTTGTCTTTTGATGTTAATAAATCTTTATCTAAAAAATAGAAATTCACCATTAATAATAATCTCAGACATGAAAAAAGTTGTTTGATTAAAAACAGATGAATACATTGCAGTGTGAAATGAGGGAAATTTTGCCAGGACAGAGCATTGTTGCAACTAACCATCAAATGCATTTAGGTCCAGACTGTTTCGTTTTTAATTTTTTAATTTAGCCACTCCTGTTAGGGTCTTAAGACACAGCTCTTGAACATTCATCCATTTGATGTTACTGCCAGCCAATCAAATTTCTTCCCTCTCCAACACTGGGATTTTTGTGACACAAACAAAAGCATTAGACACTACCCAGTGAGAAACATTTCAAAACTTACTATGAGAGAGTAGTTTGATTATGGTTGTATCTTTCTCAGCTAGTCTAGCCTTCATATCTGATTCTGCTTTAGCAAAATCTTTTTGTTCTGGCGACTGACACTTGTCTAATTTTTCTGCAAAAAAATCATAGAAACACAATTTGAAATTGATCTTGTAGACACTATTTGTGCATTTTTTTTTAGTTTCTTAAAGATGGGTTCCCTTATTTTCATTTAATTTGACACTAAAAAATAAGGAATCTCACCTTAAATGCACAATAATATCTAAGGACATTGTTGAAACTTACAGGTCTCAATTTCAGAAAAAAAGTGAGCATAAAATAGTTTGCCTTGTCATTTCACACAACAAAATTGGCCAGTAATCAAATCATTCAAAAAGTTTACCTTTTAATTCTTTGTTCTCCTTTTGGATTTTTTTAATTTCCCCGTCTAATTTTTGTTTTAAAGCCATGTCAAGCCTTTCCCGCTTCTGGGCGCTTTTAGACAATGACTCATAAGCACCATGGACCTTTTCAATTTCTAACTCCAACTGGAAATAAAGAATGGAAACCTTAGTCAAATGTCGTCTGCTAGGTAATTAGGTGCCAAAGGTTCAACTCTCTCCCATGTGTAAACAAAATTCCAATGCTTTTGATTGTTAAACCAGTGGCCATTGAACAGCCTTTCCATGAAATCTTTGTGGCAGTAGAATAGCTCAGTTGGTAACAAGTTCGATTGTCATCTGCTAGGCAATAAGGCTTTCTCTTCAACTTACTTTTTGTAATTTGGCAATTTTGCGGGTGTATTCAGTCATTTGAGTTAACAGAGTTCTGTTTTCTTTGGATAACATTTCAACTAACTGTGTAGCTCTGTTAACTATCTCTGTTTGATCAATATCTGTTATCTTTCCCCCTGTCATATCATATGCTGACTCTGGTCTGAAAAATACACAGAATAAATGAATGAAATATCATTATTGGATGAATGAAAGGGAACCATTTGATGGCCATGCAACTGGTATCCCTGTCAAATTGCTGTATCTGAGAGCATCTTAATTTTCAATGAATTTAAGAAAATTAAAAACTTCAATTTAGTTCAAAAATGGTGACCTGTCACTGACAAATTATTCAGTGCAGAAGTTAAATTAAAATTTAAAATAATCTGTATCTTAACACCCTAGCAACTCCATGACACCTTAGCAACATGAATAACGGGTGTTTCTGTGAGGTCGGAATATGGCGTACAAAGATCGAAATGATATCCGTGTTGAACCTTGGTGGCAAGGATATGGAAATCAACTTACCTAGTGGACGTGTGTATTTTAAGATCAGGATTAGAGAGAGGTGTTTTAGGTTGAGATTCGGTTAAACGAGACAGATCCGGTTGAGACCGGCTTAATTCCACTTTAGCGCTCTCCATCATGTCGTACCCATGATGATATGTGTCTATTTTCACTGGTGGCTCGGATTTGGGTCCCGGATATTCCGGGGGAGGGGGGAGATTTGCCAGGTACTGCATCATTTTATGGCTTTGTGCTATTTCCACGGGATCCATGATCCAATGTTGTGCATTCACATACGGTCCAGAACCGTGATATGTTGAAACCGGTACCCGGTTGTAGTCCGTGTTTGGCACGGTTAACTGAGGAACACTTGATTGCTTCCATTGCGGAATCGCTTGACTATTGTACGCGGAGGCCGGTTCACTATGAGTTGTAAACATTTGTCCTCCTGAAGGTCCTTTCACTAGATATGCCGGCACACTTGTTGATTTGGTTTCCGAAAGGCTGGACGGAGGCATACCCAGACGGGCGAGTATACTATAGCCTCCATCGCTATTGTTCAAATCTATCTGATTATAAAGGTTTTGAGACTGATTTTCCTCTCCCTGTGGCTCCTGGCGAATAGACGTTGCCAGATTTTCCATGGACGACACCGAAACATCTGTACTGGTTTCACTACCAGAAAAACTTTGCCGACCACCTGAAATGGAAACGTTACTGATTAGAATATAGATTTGTACCTAATTTGCCTAATTAGGCATTATTGACTTGCCAAGGCCAATTTAATGACAGACTTTTGTATTGGCCTTTTTTGTATATCTTGTTTCAAAAAATACTGAGAGATATTGTAAGATACATGCAGCTTTATTTTAGATTATAGAAAATATGAAAGCAAGTTTTTACTATTTTAATAAATATACACTTCTTTAACCCAACAATCCAAATCTTTATATATGATATTTAGAAGTATCACAGCATATTATAAAACAACAGTTTTATGGTTATAAACTTCTATTTAGTATTTAAAGGGATACATCTCAATTTAGCTCAAATTTGGCCAATAACAGTATATATCCATCAGTGGACTTACCTGGTGTCCTAACTATACATCAAAATCCCTCTATAATCCGATATACCCACAAAATCAAGTAATTAATTATAAAACGCTTAATACATCCATTAAGCGATTTTCAAATCGTGAGTCTAGGAAATCCGGTGTAATCACAAGGGGCAGTAACTCTCAAGTGGGGTTTCCTGCGTCCTTGACCTCTACTCTTGAACTGACCTCGACATTGTCAGACACATATTTTGAAGACGGAATAATAATGCCTCGTAGGAGATTAAGCAACTCCGCGAAAAAGCAATTCATATAATTTAGAATGAATACTCCACCACTGACACAATTTTCAACGAATATTAATCATTGGCAAAGTTTGTTTGTAGACACTGGAAGATGATAGTTTCCTGTTTTAGCGTTGATTAACCAGACTCTATTTTTCTCAAACTAAACAGATTCATCGCATGCTCACTTTTTAAAAAAATTCTGATTATAGTTTTATTGTCAATTTTTCAAACTTGATAAAGTGTGGAATGCATAATTATTTAACCAATGGTCACTGTTGAACATAAATACTAGCGATAGGACCAGTGTATTCTAAGACGTAGTATCCCTTTAAACACAACGTTTCATTACATTCTGGTAACGTAACCCGTATGTGTCATGAAACGTTGTGTTTAAATGTGTTTATATCCATAAAACTGTTGTTTCTTAATCCAAACTTGTCTCAAAATTCAGACAAGAGAATAAGTACTACTTATGTCAAATTTGAGTAGGGATGTAGGCTGACATAGGTCAGTTGTTTAAAGATTGCACAGCATGAACTCTGAGTAACAACATGTTTCAGGTTCTGTTTTGTGCCTTTCAAGAGCTTTCTATTTCTATATGAGTTTGCATCAATTTTCATACATTCATGATAAATATTATCAATAAGTTAGGATATCATGTCTATCATTGATATTGTTCCATAGTAACAGCCGTCTCGGAGGCAGAGTTATCTCCCTTAGTCAAGTCTGCGTAATAAGAAAGGTATGTGTTATAATGAATCATAATGAATAGATAACATGTATGACAACAAAAAATACAGTCAACACAACACATTCTTTATGCATGAGGTAAACAAACTGGTTATAATACATAACTAAATATTTGTCTTCTAAACACTAAAAACTCTTTACTACCCTTTTAATGTGATTTAAAAGAGGTTTTCTAAACTTGTTATTTTTGTGTATTGGGGACACTTGTAGCATCAATTTGAACCTTTCCAATTTCAGTCAGACGTCTGTGGCTCTTGCGATTCCTCTTAAACTCAAGCGTTTGATGACATCACTGATCGCGAAGGGCCTGCCTTAATTGCGATTCGTGACATCATCAAATACGGTAGTTATTATTTGTGGAAAGTTGAAGGAACCACAGACGTCTGATTGAAAAATGCAATGGTGCAAATTGATGCTATCAGTGTCCCTGATTTAGAAACATCTTAGCGATCATTAACATTTTTCACATAGACGATCAATTTCAAAAGAAAAAATGAGACCATCGTACCTGGTTGATGGAGTTGTTTAGAGTGACCAGGGTAGGGTGGCGGGTCACGATATTGTTGTTGCATGGCTAAGACTTGATAATAATCTAATTCACAATAACTACAGTTGGTTGAATAACAACATGGTATTAAAGTATCTGAAATATACAAAATTGAAAAAACCAAAACTTAATATGATGTAAGAACCTAACTAAAAAGAATCTTAAAACAAAAATCTGCAAAAACATGGCATAATGATGAAAGATAGCAATTTAAAATTCATTGATGAAAATGAAAATGTTACTACTTATATGAATAGAAAGTAGAGGTGTTCTAATGACTTGGAAAAATACCAGTTTGTCTCACATGTCCATAATTAATTCATAATTAGCTATATAAATTAGAAGAGAATTACCAGTTGAATTCCAATGAGTGACCAATCAAGAAAGGTCAATTAGTCTTTTTTTGTTTATCCAGACTGTAAATGCATGGATATTTATGATTGGTTAAAACTCTTAATTATATGCAGTAAGAACATAATGATATGATTAAGAATACGTGATAATTCATTAGAAACACCAATTGATCTAACAGATGCTTAATTTGACACTAAAATTAATGAACTAAACAAACAGGAAAGGCAACCAAACGACCCAAACGAAAATAGGCCTGAATTAAAATTAACCAACAAAAAAATTACCCAGAGAGTCTAAATTCTGCAGTCGAAAAATGGAAGAAATCGTAAAATTATTTCCTGAGCCAGACGGAAATGACAGAGCTAAGAAACTAACTCTGACAAAATTTTAATATTTTTAAAAAAAAAAAAACAACATGACTTGTCATGACAAAATATTGTTATAATTGCCAACGAAACTAAAATACTGAAATTTTTACCCTTTATTAACCTCAATTAACAAAAGAAATAAACAAAAATTTACCCAAAATGTCAAAATTCCGTAGTCGCAAAAATGGAAATAAATTATCCAAGTATTTCCTCAGCCAGACGGACATGACAGGTAGACAAATGTGACAGGAAATACTCTAAAAAGTTAATATTAAATACTGATACTGGGTACCTAAAACTTTAATCTTAGTAAGTCTGATTTAAAAAGAAATAAAACCCAAAAATTACCAAAAAGTCTGAATTCCGCAGCCGAAAAAATGGAAATAAATTATCCAAGTATTTCCTCAGCCAGACGGACATGACAGGTAGACAAATGTGACAGGAAATCTGAAGAGTGTCAAAAGTAAATCTAGGTGTAATTAAAGACTTGAAGTCATTTGGCCTACTAATACCAAACATATTAGTCCAAGTTATTTATAGTAACGACACTCGACCCCTGTCTCACTATAGTAAGATTTATTACTTCATATCTGACATAAATTAACATACTACATTTCTTTTACAAGGGCATACTGTGACATTTATTTTATCTCCAAAAAAAAAGAGTATTCTTTTCTTGAATAATGCATGTACATGTGGCTTGACTCTCTCTTAAAGGGAATGTAAAAAATAGGTTTTCTAAATTCTTTATGTGCATCAGGGACACTGATAACATCAATTTGCACCATTCTAATTTTCAATCAGACGTCTGTGGTTCCTGCAATTCCATTAAAACTTAGTGTTTTACGATGCCACTACTGCAAAATATCGCTCTCTTTGTGATAGTGACGTCAGAAAATGCTCCTTTTTAGTGGGATTGCCATAGAAAATCGAATAGAAAATTTGATGTTATCAGTGTCCCCGATACACATAAAACTTCATAAAATCTCTTTAAATACATGAAGACCAATAAATACTTATCCAAAAACAGAGCCTAGCAAGAAGGACACTTTTTAATTTAACTTGTCCAGGACATAGAAAATCCACTTGTTTTCTGCGTTTATTGCTCGTTATATATAAGAAAATATATTAAAAAAACCCTACCATTAAGTATAAATTTCAAATTATCCTTTTGAATTTAAAATTGTATCACTATGGTTTCCAAGAGTATAAATCTATAACCATATCATAAAGCTTGACTGGGACAGGTGCAATGTAGTGTCCACTTGATTTTAAACAATGGATATTTTGAAACAACAGCTGGACAATAGAGGTATATACCACCATTGACCACTAGCAGGTGTGCATACTAATTAGTAGAAGTGTCCAGTCATTGTCCACACACTGTCCAGTCATCTATTAGACCTCTGTTTTGGAAATTTAAAAAGAGTAATGATGTTGTCCTGTAAAAGTTCTCTAATTGCATACTGCATGGCATTGACCATCTTCTATTTTCAACGCAATATAATTTCAATATATTCTTCTTAAGATAGCTTGCCAGGCAAGGTAATATACACCCACTGGCAGCTGTGATTTTTAATAAAAATATTTGGCAGTACAGTTACAATTACCAGTATGAAATATTCAGGTTATAATAACATTTTTTTGGGTCATAATTAGCGAGTATTGTCATAATAGCGAGTAAATTGTCAAAATAGCGAGTATTGTCATAATGGCGAGTATAGTCAAAATAGCGAGTATTGTCATAATAGCAAGCAAAATAGCGAGTATTGTCAAAATAGCGAGTATTGTCATAATAGCGAGTATTGTCAAAATAGCGAGTATTGTCATAATAGCGAGTATTGTCAAAATAGTGAGTATTGTCATAATAGCGAGTATTGTCATAATAGCGAGTATTGTCAAAATATCCTACATACCAAATAGTTTTTCTAAAAAGTTCAAAATATTATTCATTTTTTTATTAAAACCATACCTTATATGGTAATCTCTTTAAATAAACCTTATCACTGATACATTCAATAAATCACTTTCTACAGGATTGTAACTTAAATAACTCTCCTTTTTTTTAGGTTAGCCTATTCATCATTTCAACCCAAATATTTCAAATAAACAAAAAACACCAAATTTTACTAATTTACATATAATATAAGCTTAAATTAAATCAAGATTTTCTTTAAATACAAATGAATTTTTCTTTTTTTTTCCACAAAATTAAAAAATTTTATTACAGAACTTTTCATCCTTTTTTTTTGATGAACATTAAAGTGATTGTAAAAAGGTTTTTTGAAATTTTTATGTTTATCGGGGACACTATTAGTATCAATTTGTACCAAATTTGATTTTCAATCAAATGTCTTTGGTTCCTGCAATTCAACTACAACTAAGCGTTTTAAAAAAACGTTAAATCAATCCTTGAAACAAGTACCGTATCCTTTATTTAAAAATTTATATAATTACCTCCGGCACCCATAATAAATTGACCATCAAAAATCCTTAAATCAATCCTTAAAACAAGTACTGTATCCTTAATTCAAAATTTCATAATTACCTCCGGCACCCATAATAAATTGACCATCAAAAATCCTTAAATCAATCCTTGAAACAAGTACCGTATCCTTAATTCAAAAATTCATAATTACCTCTGGCACTCATAATAAATTGACCAACAAAAATCTTTAAACCAATCCTTAAAACAAGTACCGTATCCTTAATTCAAATTTCATAATTACCTACGGCACCCATAATAAATTGACCATCAAAAATCCTTAAATCAATCCTTAAAACAAGTACTGTATCCTTAATTCAAAAATTCATAATTACCTCCGGCACCCATAGTTAATGGCACATGAATCCTTAAAATCAAATTAAGTATATCCTTATATAATATAGTCCTTAGTCTAACATTTCACAAAGCTAGCCTCTAAAAACATGTCTGACTAAAACTGAGGTACATATCACAATGACAGAGGTACATGTAGTTTAAAATAACTTGATCTAAATTGTTCATTCATATCATATCTATTTACACATTCCTTACATTCACTCACTGTGGGTAAACAAGTCTCAATTTGACACTTCACCTTAACAATCCATGTAGAAATTTTACATGCTCCAAATAACTCGTCTGGTGTGCACAGCTTAAAGGATGGCAGACTAGAAATTTTACATGCCCCAAAGATCTGTACTGTGAACAGCTTAAAGGGATTGTGAAGAGGTTTTCTAAACTTTTTATGTGTTTTGGGGACACTGATAACATCAATTTGCACCATTCCAATTTTCATTCAGAAGTCTGTGGTTTTTCTGGATTGAATTTTTTTGTCAGACTACTTTGCCGTAGGTTCTACCTACAATGCCATGCAGTATGCAAGGAGGGAAATTTTTTCCTGGACAGTGACATAAGCCTACTTTTTTGCGATTTCTGACTGTTGAGGGGTCTTTAAAGTACAGTCTGTAGCAGAGGCCTTGGTTTATTGTCTCATCTGAACGACAAGACGCTTTTTCCATGTCAGTCCTTCTGAACTCTATTCACTGTATGTAAAGAATAAAGCAAAGTAAAAAAACTAAATTCTCTGAAGATTTTGGACAATGCATCTTTAAATACTATGCATAATAGACCAAACATTCTTTACAAACATAAAAAGCATTGGTATGTAATTTGAGTAATTAATTTTCAATGGAAATATTTGTTGTCTGAGTCATAACTCTTCTGTGTTGAAAATAAAAAAAGTGCACTAAAAGTTTTCTGGTAAATTTTGAATGAAAAGATTAAAGTTTCTACTTCACTGGTTAAGTGAGTGAAAATCCTCCCCTAAATATTTCTTAAGGCCACACCAATTTCTTAAACAGTTATGGAGGGCCATGGATGCTAGGTGAGATAACTGCTTGCGTTTTCAACAAGGTACCATCCACCATAGATAATTACTAACAGGTTTTTCCTAAATCAAGGACAAAAGGTGTGAGAGTCAAATGGCCAAAGGCCACAGCTTGACCAAATTTTCCTTGTTGCAGACTACACAGCATGTAAGACATAACATTTTTATCAAATTGCAGACAAACTGGTTGTCTAACTTTCATTTTGAAAAATGTTATGGCTGAAATTAACTAAAAAATGCAAAAATTCAGAAAACTATAGATGCTAAATTCCACATACCTAAAAACCAAATAATTTCCCATGAATTGCCCAAAATTTGAACAAAACATCAATTTCAAGAAAAAAAAATCCCACAGCCATGTAAAATAACAAAGAAAACTGACAAAGAAACTGAATCATCTCAGCTTAAGAGAGTGCACATATTTGAAATATTTAGATCAAGAGAATTGAATAGATAGAGCTTCCCTAGAGTTGACCCCTATCCAAGTGACCTGTTTATTTATCTCCAACTCTGGCTGACTTGTGAAACAGCTAATAAAAGAAATAATTTGCTACAGGCATTTCACGCCTAATTATAACTAGAAATGTATTGAGTCTGCTATACACTTATAATACACAAACCAAATTGACTTGTGAAAAACATTGCATACCGATGACCAATGCATTCTTTTCTAAACTTGGCCTTAAAGATGGGTTTCCTTATTTTTTTGTGTCAAATGAAGCAAACTGTTAGATTAATTGGTGTTTCTAATGAATGTATTCTGAATCATATCATTATTTTCTTATTGCTTATAATTAAGAGTTTAAACCAATCATAAATGTCCATGTATACAGTCTGGATAAACAAAAAAGACTTTCTGACCTTTCTTGATCGGTCACTCATTGGAATTCAACTGGTATTCTCTTCTAATTTAGCTAATTATGAATTTATTATTGACGTGTGAGACAAACTGGTATTTTTCCAAAGTCATTAGAACACCTCTACTTTCTATTCATATAAGCATTAGCATTTTCATTTTCATCAATAAAAATAAGGGAACCCATCTTAACTACTCAAGAATTTTTTTTTACCATATCATCAGGCTTCACATTCCATTAGCATTTTCCACATAATTGTAGGCTTACCGAAAGTTTATAAGTAACTAATCATGATACTGAAATAGTACTATCATCAACTATTTCTTGTTATTGAGTTTTGTTATTTTGGTTTATGTTGATTTCCTATCTTAAAGTGACGATATTTTCTTTTCATTTTATGATAGAATCACTTTGCACCTTTACAAATTTTTAGTAAACTCATTGTTTGATTGTGTGAGTAGAGCAAGGGCAATTAGATTTCGCAAAAGTCATAAAACACTATCATTTAAGTTGAATAGTAAGAACTACAAGGTCATCTGAATGAAAATTAAATAGGAATGAAGCAAATTGATGCTATCAGTGTCGCCGAATCCTGATATATATATAAAACCTCTTTAAAATTCTGTAGACTTTCTGCTATTTACATTTTTCGGATTCTGTTTTAATGGGTATTTGATAAGAATAATTTTAAAGGAGCACCTTCACTATCCGTTCGACCAATCATGTCTCAGAAACAGACTTCTTTTAGCTTACATAATCAGTAATAGTGTTCACAGCTCATCGTCAAAATCTGAGCCTTCAAATCCATGAATATCCTTAATTATTCACGTTTGAAAGTTAAAAATTAAACTTGAATTTTAGTGAGACTATGCCATATATAGAAAACACATTATAGAAATAGACAGTGAAATTTCTAGTTTGAGGTATATTTGAAGGAATTATGTGATTTTCGTGCATTTTAGTACTTCTTAAGACTATTAAAGCACAATAAAGAACCAAATCAATACCCGAAAATGCTGACTGTTCCCCTTTAACTTTCATTAAGTGAATTTTAGCTTCAATTTTGAAATTTTATATTTCAAAATTTTTGACTTTTTCATTCCCATTTTTTTAAAATTTACACATAGCAAAATGTGCATTTTTCAAAGTTTGTATTGAAGTTTTTCAGACATAATTCTTTCACTTAATGCGTTTTAGTTTCGAATTACCATTTTTTTCACTTCTTTAATGCATTTTAGCTCTTAAAAACAAGATTTTATGTAAATGTTTTGGGTTATCTTTGGTTTTAATTTTTTTATGCATAATAAGTTTTTACACAATTTTGATGTAATTTCAGAAGTCTAGACTACAAAACACAGAGAAGCCATGCTGTAAATTTTGGTAGAGGTAAGTTTGTTTGGAGATGTCAATTCACTCGCTCTCCTCCCACCCTCCATCCCCCTTGGTGATGGTGTGTTTTTTAATTTCATCTAGCCCTTCACTGGCTGACAATTTGATCACTATAAGCTTACACATAGAAAACTCCAATCTGAACCTCTGATTGTATAATATCTTATCAATTAATTAATTAACTCAAATAAGCAATTGGATCAAAGGTAAAAGTCTGAGAAGGCTCAAACTCCCTTCAAACAATCATACTTACTAATACATACATAATTCATAATTCACGCTGTATCAGTAGGCCTATCATATCACATGGCAAACAAAAATAGGATCCCCCTTCCCAAAGAAAAATAAATGTTATTGCATTTAATATGTTTTGTGTTTTAAGGAATTATTCATAATACAAAATTAAATTCAAAAGCCCCATAAAACTAACTAAAAATTATTGAAAATGATTTATTTTGTGATTCAAACAACAATTTTATGATGGACTACAATTTTCTGCAAGCTTGGCAGATCCTCCTGCTACCCCCCAACCAAACAACAAAAGCTATTTTTGAACTCAGAATGCTATTTTAAAATTTATCATGTTCTGTTTAATTTACGGGTTAATATGCATGTTAAATATTTTGGCAAATCAAACTATAAAGGAAAGGATAGTTTAACAAAACAATAAATATTTTGGCAATATGTACTTGGTATGGTTTAAAAATACACAATAAGCTACTTTCATTCATTGATCATTCTTAAAGAGTACTGGAAGAAACTGACTTAATTTCATGTGAGCTTCTCTAATTTTAAAGGCTTTGAGAGAAGAGTAGGCTATTCAATGTTCTAAGAAGCAATTTTGAAAATTTAAAGCGAGTTTGGTTACATTATTATAGCATTCACAAAATTAAAGAGATCTATAGCCAAACATTTCTTTCCATTAATGGTCAGTTCCCTTATTTCATTTATTTATATATATATATTCCATTATTGGACGGCTAATTCTTATATAAATCGAAAACAGAGGTGTTCTTATTGATTGGGAACAATACCAGTTTGTCTCAGAAGTCAATAATGAAGAGATTCCAATGTTTAGTTCACTTAATAAAGATTATCAGGTCTCACAATTTCCATAAGGGAGGTAACTATGTGTGCCTTTTCACAGCCGAACATTAGCAAAACAGCCAAATACCAACCGAAAATTTTTAAATTTCAATGGTCATGTTTCCAAAATAAGGAAAATGACGATTTTTAACATACAAATATGTCTTTTAACCATGGCATGGCTAATTTTTTTTTTTCACGAAAAACTTCTAAGAGTGTTTCTAGGACATCCTAGTACTAAGATTTTTTTGACCAGATTAGGAGATTTTAGAAAGTTAACTCATTTCAAAATAGTATTATAGGAAACATACTCATGTTGGCAGCCTGAGATACAAGCCCTAGGTAAGCAGCCTCTAAACCTTCTTTCTAAATGAGCCAGAAAGACTCTAAATTTCAACCTCCCTAAGTTGTGTTCAGACAAGGTTGAAGTCACCAATAAAAACTGAAACATTTTCCCACCCAGATGAAAATATTTACCACAATGTAAGAGGTGAATGAGTAGATTAAGTTTGTACTTGCCTAAAAACTTGAAAAGAAAAACATTTCTCGGTGAAAGAATTTTTCGGTGAGGCTGAATGGGTCAGAGTTATTTACTCAGTTTTAGCGCTTGACTGCTCACCTAATTGTTTATATGATCAAACAACTTTATCCCTGGTGAAACACAAAGACATTATACTGACATTCCACAAATCAAGAGTCCACCTGGTGAAAAAACAGGTCATGTGTCCTGAGTATTTCATCTTCTCTCATGTGTCTGTATTTAAGAGAGATGTCTTCTCATGTGTCTTAAGTATTTCATCTTCTCTCATGTGTCTTTAAGTATTTCATATTTTCTCATGTGTCTTAAGTATTTCATCTCCTCTCATGTGTCTGTATTTTCTTAAGAGAGATGTCTTCTCATGTATCTTTAGTACCTGGTATTTCATCTTCTCTCATGTGTCTTAAAAATATTTCATATTTTCTTATGTGTCTTAAGTATTTCATATTCTCTCATGTGTCTTAAGTATTTCATCTCCTCTCATGTGTCTGTATTTTCTTAAGTGATGACTTTAGCTTATCAATAAAGAATTTTCTGATGTTTCTTTGCCTCAATTCTTAATGAAAACTTAACCAAATTTCAAAACCAGTTGTCCTGGAAAGGATTTTATATCCAAAACGTGAGTCAGCATCATGAGATATTATATTATATATTTGAATAAACTAGCCTAGCATATTTTCATTCAAAACAACCTAATATATATTTGTTGGCCAGTTTCCAAATTATTTTACAATATTTACAATTATAAGTATACTGAGTACAATAATACATACCCTACTGGAAATTTTATTTTAATTATCAATAAGAGGTTAAAGGTTGTGCTCCTATGACCTAATTATTTCAATAATTAAATTTATAAAATTCAAGGTTTGGTATGGCCAATGGCAAATCACTTTTGAATGTAGGTGCTTTTTGCCTAGGGTATTCAGCACTTAAGTATAAGTTCAAGCATTTGTTGAATTTGCATGGCATGTTCTGAATACCTGATGCAGTCCTTTTGAAAGGGATTGTAAAGAGGTTTTCTAACTTTTTTGTATGTGTATCAGGGACAAATAACATTGATATACACTACCCTGTTTCAGCCAGATGTCTGTGGTTCCTGCAATTCCACTTAGACTAAGCATTCTATATATATACATATAGATATTACTAACAGGTTTTGCAATAATGACTTCATAAAACACTTAGATTAGTAGATGCGGCACAGACATCTGATTGACAATTGGAATGGTGCAATCAATGCTATTAGTGTTCCTGATACACATAAAAAGGTCAATCATGCCAATTTTATTGGTATCAAGGCGCTTAATTGATTCCTGCAATAGTGTTTTTTGTTTTTCTAATAGAACACAATCTCCAATTATGTTCATGCTCCTCCCTTTCCCCTTCATAATTTAAGTATCCTAATTCATAAAAATTTCTTTGTTATTTATGCCTTCCTCCTATTTCATTTCTAAAAAATTTCTAATAAAATAAATTGAAATGGAATGTTAATATGGTGTCAAATTCATAAATCATCTTTTTATGAGTTCATTTATTTTATTATAACTCAAGTAGTGTGACAATTTTATATAATGATTTACATATTTTACATTATATTACAACATTAATGTGGGCACACCCAAAACAAATTCTTTAATAGATTTAATACTCTTTAATATGTTACCATTGGGTCTTCGCAGTATGCAATTGAAGGAAATTTTGAAATAAAATAATTAGTGAATGACATTTGCTTACTCTTTTTGGACTTTCAACTTTTAAAGGGACTTGTGGCCATTCATTTGACCAATCATACTTTAGTCTCAGAAACTAGAATATTTTTTAAATAAGCTAATCACTAAAAGTGTTAACAGCTCACCATTGAAATTTGAACATTCAAATCCATGCGTGTCCAGATTATCCATGTTCGAAAGTTAAAATGACGACTCCTCTTTTTTTGAGACTCTGTCATACTGTATAGAAAAGACATAAAAGCTTAAATAGAAATAGCGAGAGAAATTCCTAGTTTGAAGTATTTTTGAAAGAGTTACCGGTATGCTATTTTTGTATCTTTCTGAAGACTATTTAAATATAAGCTTAATCAAGACTCGAATCAACCACTGAAAATGGTGGAACTGTCCCTTTAAAATAGACATGGAAAATTTCAAGTCTTGATCTCCTACTGGTAAACTATATGACCATCCCTTACTTGACCACAAATATTTAAAATCTACAGTCATATAATATAATTAGAGTACTGGATACTTTGTAATGTGGTTTTCATAATATATCAATCAGTACAGTACTACTCTAGGCCTACCTGGTTTAGTTAGTTCCTATTTATAATCAATTTACTCAAATCACTTAAAGATAGGTTCCCTTATTTTCATTTATGAACATGAAAATGCTAATACTTATATGAATAGAAAGTAGAGGTGTTCTAATGACTTGGAAAAATACCAGTTTGTCTCACATGTCCATAATTAATTCATAATCAGGTAAATTAGAAGAGAATTACCAGCAGAATTCCAATGAGTGACCGATCAATAAAGGTCAAAAAGTCTTTTTTTTGTTTATTCAGACATACGTATGGACATTAATGATTGGTTAAAACTCTTAATTATATACAATAAGAACACAATGATATGAAGAATACATGATAATTCATTAGAATCACCAATTAATCAAATAGTTTGCTTCATTTGACACAAAAAAATAAGGAAACCCATCTTTAAAGGTGCTATACCTTGGGTTTTACCACATATTAAGAATAAGGCTTATGACAAAAATTTGCACATTATCATAAAACCTTTGTAATTTTACAAATACTGTGCTTTCAGTTGTCTAAATATTTAATCAGTTGACTAATTTCGGTCATCACCCTCAAAGAACTTTTAAGACCAACTATTGCCAAGCTGGTATTCAAATTTGCATAAAATTAATCGATAAAAGTTGATATAACAACGCTCTTGGGATCTAAAACAATTTGCAAATAAAATATATAAAATAACATCAAGTCCTAGCTACTTTGAACTGCAGTGAGGTGTGAAGCCTAGTTAAACCTAGCTACTATAGGTAAAAGAATGTCTCACTTAAACAAAGAACATTCCACACTGGCTTAAAACAGCGTGAACTCTCTACAATAACTAGATATAATCTATGGTCACATTCCTTAGATAAGAAAGACAAGATAACATTCTTACCCTATTTCATTAAAATCATTTAACTTTACTGTACATTTGAAATTTGTTACAAAAATTAAACCATTTTGTTGAAGAATTTGTTTTTTTTTACCTTTTTGTTATTTGTCTTGTATGATACTTGCGACAAAAAAAATCTTGTTATTTTGGGGTAGATCTAAGCTTAAACCCTGATATCCAAATTTGTTTTGTGTTCTTAAAAAGTTGAATTTCCCCATAATTTTTGTTAATGAAATAATTTTTTGGCACAGGAAATAATCTCCTGTTAAATTGATTCATTTGGTTGTCTTAGATTTGTTGGGATTAAATTATTTTTAACTTTAAAATTAAAACTGTTTTCTAAACAAGTTTATCCCGTGACAGTAGGCCTCATTACTTTAAAATTATAATTAAAGTTGAGAAACATCTACAAGTAAGCCATCATCTGATATTGTAGTAGAGAATATAATAAAATTCACTACTTCCCACCCATTTCCAAATATTGCCCTCTGACTGTCCCTTTAAACCGTAAATTGACGTTCAGGGGACATAACTTCACTTATTGACCCCGTTTCTTAGCTTACCTCCTTCACAAAAAATATCATTAAAAATACATGAAATTGAACATATCTAGGTGTTACAACGCACATGAAATGTCCAATTTGTTAATGCTTGGACATAGTGTTTGTTCCTTGGGTCTATTGGAACTTTTCAGACAAAATCCAAACTTTGGCACAAGTTCCAGACAATGTAATAGAGTGCACCTTTGCCTATTTTCGTCGTCCTTTTCATAGGCCACTTAAATGTCTTCTAAACACGGTCCTTATGCATCACATTTTGCAAACCACAAAGCTAAATAATAAACCAAAGAATGAGCTTACCTTTAATTTACGAAATCGATATTTAGCGAGGTTGTCTGTGGGTCAATTTGACTTGATAACAGCTCCGAAATCTAGACAAGTCGGCCATTAAAAATGAGTCACCCAAAATGGCGGAACAACATGAAAGGAATGTCAAACTATTCGTGCAGGCTGGCTCGGGACATAAATAATAGAAATAATTATGCAATTGCAATCAAAGAAACCATTTCAATCAACATAAAAGATTTTGAAAAATTATTTGCATTTGTTTACCTAAAATTGTATTCATACAAAAAGTGAAGAACTTTCAAGTGTGCAAAATATACTGTACCGTCTTGACTGTTAATGATACATTGGAATTTCCCTTCACTTGACGTCAGTTAAAGGTACGATTTAATGTAAACTTTTGACTTGATGCCTAGTAGTAATTTATTTTATAAAGCGATTCAAAATTAAGATTTCTAAATTTATTTCATTTGAGAAAATAATGAATTATTTCTGCATTTGCAGACCTCATGAGTCATTGTAGACAGTGCACCAAACTTTTTACTTTAGCAAGTTTTGGTTGGAATCCTCAGGTTGTTCCTTTGTATGTCTTTCTTCGTGGGCTGAATTTGTCTTAAATTTTCTGTTTAAGAAAAATATCGTTGGCCGTTAAATGAATATATAGAAATAGAGAGTCGAATTAGAAATAGATAATTAATTGTTGTCTGATTTAAAAAGCAAGTAGTGTCCCCTGAATAGTCGTTTGTAGTCTGAGTTTTAGTACTAATAACGTCCCTTGAATAGTTAACTGTGGTCTGAATTTACATACTTAACTGTAGTTTGAAGCCTAAGAAATTTTTTGTAGTCTGAAGTCAAGAGAATTGTTTGTATTCTATAGTCTTGAAATTAACTGTGTTCTGAATTTGAACAGTTATTTGTAGTCTGAAGTCGAAAATTTTAATATAGTTTTCTCCCTTTATATTCTTAGTTTATAAAAAGATCAATTTCAGTCTAAGCGGGGAATTTTGTCAACAAACATCTGTGCATGTATTCAAAATGAAGACAAAAAACGTAAATAACGCCCAAGAAAAATGTGACGAATGGTTGTCAACTAGAAATAAGAAAAAGGTAAGGTATTGTCAGAAAAATAAGATCCTATATTGTGATGTCAAAATGTATGACAACTTTCCAAAAAGTAAATATATGTTCGAAAAGTAGGCGTGGCACCCTAGTTTACGAATAAATTTACATCCTTAGAATAGATTAACGTCCTATTTGATTGCATTTGCAGGTCTGTCATTCAGTGCAATCCCATGCATTGTGCAATGAGGGAAATCTTGTTTAGTTCTGAGTCTGTTTCTTGCAATAAATTCTTTCCTTAGGGTTTCAATTCTTTTTTCAGATATCAAAGCCTACTCCTATGATTAAAAAACACAGTGCAGCACTACGTTTGGTTAAAACAGGATCTAGTTCCAAATTGTGTAAATTGACTCAAAATTCACCACCACCACCACAGATATACACTAATACCAAACAGAGTGTTTTAATGTCCTATTTTACTTCGAAACCAGGTTAGTGTTTTAGTATTCCCATTCTTATGACCTTTTTGAGGTACCTGATATCAAAAAATGTTCAATTTTTGTACTATTTTACCAGCCAAACCCATTACAGGAAAGTAGGCATTAAGAGTAGACCAGGGCTGGGTACTATGATCGAAATAATCGATTATCGTTGCCAGGAATTTTTAATTTCGATTATCAAATTTCATAATCGATTATATGTTACATTTTCTCCACTGTCCACATAACCTACCTTAATTGAATGATGCAGTACCTTCAATGAAAGTGTGTTTATATACTCACGATTTGTTTAGCCTTTTAAAACAACATGATTAGTCATCACTTCTCAATTCTCGATAGGCCAACAACTCAATTGTACAAAGAAATGCGTTTATATTATAGATGATATTGTGTCAAATATACGGGATGATAATGGTCCCTGTGATGTGCCAAGTCTGTCTTCAAATTTTTCGTAAACAAGGGGTGCGCATTATACACGGGTAAATGGATTTTTCCCGATTTTTATTGGAAAAGGAAGGGGTGCGCATTATACATGGGTGCGCATTATATTCAGAAAAATATACGGTAGTTTCCCTCAGCACATAACATACCCACAATAAAGTATAATATCTGATCAAAGCAAGAATATACTTCTTACCCATGAAATTTAGAATTTTGACTTTTTAATTTTTTTAATTCAGTATTTACAGGGTTTCTCAATTGGATTATTTCGATTATTAATTGATTATTGATCAGTAGTCTGCCATCATTAATCGATCTCAATTTGGTAATGGATACCCAGCCCTACTGATGACTTTACTACATAGCATATTACATTAACCTTTCTTCAAATTTGAAATTACAATATATACATATGTATTTTTAAAGTAATAGGCCTAATTTTTGTACATGTTTCAAATTTTCTTTTTCAGATCAAAGCAATGAACAAAGTTTTGATGACTTGAATGAAATTGATGTTGACATGCAAGAAGATTTAACTGAACAGTTTGGATTTTTAAGTCAAGATGAAAGCAATGAAAAAGAAGGGCATCAAAACATCCCTTTGTCTTACACCAGAGTGATAAAAAATGATTCTGCAAAATGTCAGGTCAAATGTGACATTGATGCCTCAAATGATGACAATGATGACTGCAAAATGTCTAGTGGATTTAAATTCTCGTCAAATTGTAAGGAAAAGGACATAAAAGTCTGCGTTAGAAACCATTCTGATGACAGTGATATAGACTTTGTTAGTCAACCAGATGCAAATGAAAACAGGAATGTCAAACAGAAAAATTACTCTGAAGGAATTGAAATGTCAAATTCAAAAACTGACACAGATAGTGATATAGAGTTTATAAGTCAATGTCCTGAAAAAGCGAGAAAATATGTAAACCCTCCAAATTCTACGAGTATAAATGCAATAGAAGAGCATAATTATGTTGAAAATATCAGAAAAACATTCAGTAGAGGTCACAAGGAAAATGGGAATTCCAAAACTGATACAGATAGTGATATAGAGTTTATAAGTCAATGTCCTGAAAATGTAAACCCTCTAGAATCTACAGGGAAATTGGCAATTAATAAACATACTTGTGTTGAAAATATTGAAAAAACATTCAGTAGAGATCAGAAAGAAAATGGGAAATCCAAAACTGATACAGATAGTGATATAGAATTCATAAGCCAGTGTCCAAAAACTGTCGAAAAGTATGTAAACCCTCCAAAATCCTCTCTAGAATCAAAAATAATTGGATATAGTATCGTGGAGGAAACGTCTAATAAGGATCGTTGGAAAGACAAATTCCAATCAGACACTTCAAGTGATGATATAGAATTTTTGAGTCAATGTCCAGAACAGAAAAGCAAGCAGTTAAATGCTGAACTAAGCATAAGCAATTGGAAAAAGCATTTGAATTCAAAACAGTGTACATCTTCTATAATTTCAGAACAAGATTCTGATTATAGTGATATTGAATTTCACAGTCAATTTCCAGAGCATGGCCGATATAATCAGGTGATTCCAAAAGTTCCTGAAAATTCCAAGGAATTGTCAAGGCCAGTTCCAAAGTATTATGAAAAAGGATGCAGGCATTCTCCAAACAGTGTCAAAAATCTGAAACTTAAGTGCAATAAAGATGCAAAAAAGGCAGACAATGGCTTGGAATGGATCCCAGAGAATAGTGAAATAGAGTTCATTTCCCAATCAGTGCTTCAAAATCCAAAAACTTCCTCCAAATTCTGTGATAGTGTGGACTCTACAAAGTATTTCCAAAATCATACGCTGAATGTGACTCTGAACACAGAAGATCTAAATACACAACACGTACAAGATTTTGATTTTGACTCTCAAGACGAAGATCCCTGTTCCTCAGATATGCTGCAACCAGACAAACAGCATTCAGAGGAACAGTGTTCAGAAGAACAGCTACAGGAACACTGCCAAGCAGACATTCCAGAGGAACAATGTCTAGACCAAAGTCTGGAGGAACAAACTCATCAAACAGACGATTTGTCATTTGATTCTAATACTCAAGCAGACAATAATGCCTATACATTGGCAGAAAAACCAAAGCAGAAACAAAACAAGGGAGGCAACTCTTTAAGACATAAAAGTCGACTGCTTCAGAAATTCTTACCAGACACAATCAAATTCACAGACACTGAATCAGACAGCTGTGAGGAGCCAGTGCAGAAAACCCAACCAGGAAATAATATAAAACAGTCCTCTAGTCTAGATTCTAATTTGTTTATCATAGAAGATTCTCAACCAGTAAATGTGCACATAAATCGATCCAGAAAGAAACAACGTATTGACTTAAACGAGCAAAATGATTTTGATGTGTCATAATAAATACATTTGAAATCATAAAATCTTTGTGTTTTTTTATTAATTTTTGTCTCTTTAGTTATGTAGAAAAACAACTTTCTTAAAGGGATAGTAAAGAGGTTTTCTAAATTTTTTATATGTATCTGGAACACTGATAGCATCAATTTATGCCATTCCAATTTTCAGTATGATGTCTATGGTACTTGTAAATCCACTTAACATTTTATGAGGTCTTTAGATAGTATCAGTAGCTTTTGCTATGGTGACATCAAATACAGTTAACCATTTCTAAAATTACAGGAACCACAGACAAATCGAAGAAGCCTTAAATGACCCAATACATATAAAAAGTCTAGAAAACCTCTTTACACTTCTGTAATGAGGACAAAATGCTAATGTCATAGGCCTCTTTTATGTAGCTTTGAGCTTATGTAACAATTAATGCCTACAAGAACCTCATTATTACAATATCAGTAGATGTGATGTTGCAATTAAGTCAAAATATCTGCAAGCTGTATGTCGATATCTTCCTTTAGGACATTGACTGCTTTCACGAGAAATTAAGTTTTCCGTTTGTTAAATTAACAGAGCCCAATTTATTGAGTCTTATGCTGTAAAATTTGCAATTTTAGTGAAGGGTCTTCATTGTTTCAAACTAAATAATTAGGGTGGTTAATTGGAGTTGTTGCCCTTTGACCATTCTCTTGCAGAACGATACAATTTTACACTTTCTGTCCGGTTTCCCCCGTCAGTGACATGGTAAATGCGTCTAGTCTTTCCGGATGGGATAATAAACTGAGGCCCCGTGCGCTACAGACTGTGCACGATAAATATCCCTCGACAGTTGGAAATCGAAAAAGAGCAAGCTAATGCCGCCGTCCTGGCAAAATTTCCCTCATTGCAGCATAGCGTTGCACGTCTTCATTATCCCACATAGTACAGAAAAGTAGGACGTTTCATTTGATATTTCATTTACATCTACAGGATGTAGAGGGATAAATTCTTGTTAATGAACCCCATTTACTTTCATTTCAAACAATTTTCATATTCATGCACTCTTCATTACGACAATGATATAAACATTCCCACAAAAATCTTGCCGATATGCAAACTGTTACTTTAATAACAGAATGACAACAATTTTCTCAATTAGCCAAAATCATTATCGAGTTTCTTCATTTCCTGTGGCCATCATCTCGGGTGTTTTTCACGAATTCATAATTGGCGAAATCATCAAGGACATTGTGCTGGATGTGCGACAAACATGTGTGCCTTATCTGGTCAATGACACTTTTGTGAAAACAACGGAAAAAACAAAGCGCAAACAATAAAAAACATCGCATAATATGAAAAACAAAGCACAAACAAAGCACAAAGAGGCTCGACTAAAAAAAAACTCATATATGCGGAAACAACGAGCAAATAATGAAAAATAAAGCACTATCAATGGAAAAATAAATCGCAAACAATAAAAACCAAATCGCACTTTTAGAGGGAGCTGATGGGCTAAATTCGATAGCGTTCAATCAAATCGCTGCATTTACAAACTAATTTAAATGAAATGAAATGAATGGAGTTTTACGTCCTACACAAACTAATTTAAAACAAGAAAGGTGGCTATTGTAGTCAAGGTTTAAGAAGCAGTTCGCAGTTGACTTTATGAATAAGCTCTCGTTCTATAGCAAATCTTTAAGCTGTTTTGGACATTCTTATGAATGAATTTTCGATTGTAGAAACGCCCTCGATTTTCTGTAATCTGGATATGATTTAATCTATGGCTTCCAGCAGCCTCATGAAACTATTACATATTCTTACCGTGTTTCCCTTTAGCAGGTAAACCTCATATTTCGGAACGAGGTTAAAATTAATTTTTTCGTCGCCAGATTTTCAAACCAGTTAATCAATAGGCCTATGCTTGAAGCTTAACCTTTGTTAAGTTTTGTTTTGTAAATTTGATCACACACACACGCCTGAATAAGAAATGGTTACCTGTAACCCCTCTCGTATGAAAAAGTTCGTTCCCCGCCCTATAAGAAGCTACATTTATGTGGATAAAATTAGCCATGATGCCGTTTATTAATTGACTTAGGGGGTATTTTCTAAACGACCATAGGCGTCAAAATGTTTTGTAGTAATCAGTCAATCGTAATAGAACATTCCACTCTTGACTGTGCTGGAACATCATTTGAGCGTATTATAAGGTGTTTTTGTACCCCAGTCCATTACGCCTTAGTCCATTCCAGAAGATATGCGACCATGTCAAGGTTCTAGAATCAGTCTCCAAGACTTCCAGGCTAAAAGCCAGGAACCTTGAATTAAAATTAATTAGCGATTCCAATATTCCAGAACAACTTGTTGACATCGTTAGTGATAGAAAATTCTATTCCTCCAGATATTTGCCCTAAAATCTAGAGATCTTGGTCAAGTAAACGGAAGTGACGACATATAAGTTTTGATTTGATAAACTATATTATTCGAGACTAATTTGACTAATGAAACACCAATTGGCTGTTTCAGATCAATGTTTTCACCGTTAGTTTTACGTAAAATGAAGTTTACGTTCTTTTTGCTTGTATCTTAATACAAATGCTAATAATAACGGCACTCTGATGTGAATTTGTGTTGCTATACGTGCTTCTCACCCAGCCCCTAAAGGTGTCCGGTGTCGTGTACATTCACAATTATCGGCCATTTAAAAACAAAATGTCCTGATGATGATAAATATCCAAAACATCTGTTGACTTTATGTTGGAACTTTTCTTCTCCTTTTTTTATAGCCCACCCACACTCTGACGTACTGTGTGATCGAGATGAACTCATTGCAATCAAACGAACACTTGTTCATTGTCATCTTTTGATGGATGTGCACACTGCATTCTTTTATGTCATAAGGTTCATTAAAAACCAAGGTTTTATATCGAATTTACAATATCCTGAACCGTCTGTGACGCATTAAAGTATACAAAAAAAATCAGCGTTTTCAAAGGGAATGCCCAAAACGAGGAAGTGCCTATAAAAAAAACTACAAATAATTGCACGTCAAAATATATGACCATTTTGTCTGAGCTTTTTAAGTTTTCAAAAACAGAATGCAAAAAAATCGATGCTATTTGCGACTTTTCAAAATTATGATCTCTGAAAAAACGCACAATTCAAAATATTAAATATCAAAGAGCGACATGTTCAATATTATTCCTAATTTTGGCAAAAAATTCACTTCAAAGGAGGCAAGGTAACAAATAATATAAACGTCAAAATATGACCAAAGCATCAATTCATCGGATGTCAAAACTATTTCCAATGCCCTTAAATTTCAGTGCAATTTGTGATGCACTTTTCGTATTAAAAATCAAATCAAAGTGCGATGACAAATTTCATAAACTCTGTGTGACATTTAGGTGCAAAAGTTTTCGGCTGTCAAAATCTGTAAAAAACATATTCAGTGCTTTCTGACTCACTTTATGAATATGAAATTACACCTGATGGTACTTCTCATCGCTATATAATTTTGCACCAGCTTTTGTCATGCTTCGGACGAAATTGTTTTTCTTGTACGGATTCTTTACGATACGCTTATTTTTAGGACTTTGGCAAAAAATTTATTTGGAGAGGGAAATGCATATACGATCATAAATTTCTCGAACGTACATTAACAGGTTTGGTTGGAATAACTAAACCAAGTACCAACGATCCTAACCGCAAAATGAAACCCGAAATCTAAAACAACATAATAATTAGCGAATCATTGGTAGCAGCTAATGAACATTTCATATGTACAAGTATATCAATTTTAAGTGAGTAAGTATTTCATAATGAAAAGTGGTATCAGGTGTCCAGAAAAGTAAGCATACTCTTCTATGCACCACACCCGTCATAGCCGTTTAACTACAAATAGGAACAGGCCAACAAAAACAAGGTATTGAGACTTGACCGATGAATTAAGAAATTGGAAATACAGAATATCTGAGCTGGCTAAATCAGTAGAACCTAACAAAATCAAAAAGTACAATTTCGATCCGTCCATTTTTTCGATTTTTATATGGTTAATTTGGTTGTATATCAAAATTAAAAGCAGGAAACGTACAAACATGACAATGAGAACGTCATAATTCTGATAATTATTAAGATTTAAACGTTCTCGGTTGTCAAAAACAGGAACTTAATTTAAATGAAACGAAAACAAAAGTTTATAAATATTCAACAGCTTCCGTCAATTTCTATCTATGTCTATTTTATATGTGGCAGTGTCTCGAGAAAAGACGACTCGTCTTTTTAATTTTCAAACGCGGAAAATTCTGGACACACATGGATTTGTAGGCTCAAATTTCTACGGAGCTGTGAACACTATTACTGATTGGCTTAGCTTAAAAATTCCCGTTTTTGAGACTAAGGTTTGTTCGGTCAAAAATTTGGCGCATCTGTCCCTTTAAGAATGTTTGGATAAAAAAATTGTCATTAGGAGCCCGTATTTCTTAATATTCCATGCTTCGTTTGCATAATATAGGTAATTAAATACAAAAATTAGGGTGGATATAGTATTGGATAATGATGTTGCTTTTTCAAAATTTTCCTCATTGCAAAATAATTACATCTCGTGTGTTCATATTTACAAAACAAAACGCAAAAATATCTAGGTGTCTTTTTCAAAATTATCCTCATTGCAAAATAATTACATCTCGTGTGTTCATATTTACAAAACAAAACGCAAAAATATCTAGGTGTAACCGAGTTGAAAATGTTCCTCATTGCAAAATAATTACATCTCGTGTGTTCATATTTACAAAACAAAACGCAAAAATATCTAGGTGTAACCGAGTTGAAAATGTTCCTCATTGCAAAATAATTACATCTCGTGTGTTCATATTTACAAAACAAAACGTAAAAATATCTAGGTGTAACCGAGTTGAAAATTATCCTCATTGCAAAATAATTACATCTCGTGTGTTCATATTTACAAAACAAAACGTAAAAATATCTAGGTGTAACCGAGTTGAAAATTTTCCTCATTGCAAAATAATTACATCTCGTGTGTTCATATTT